GGGGGGGGGGGGGGGGGGTACAGGAAGAGAACACCCTTTCCTGCCCCCTGGGCTGGTCTCGGTCATGCGTAACAGAGGGCTTCCTTACAAAGGCTGTATTCAGTGAACCCTTCGGTCAGCCATGGAGAATCAAACACACTTTAGATGGACTGCAGAGATAGAGTCCTATAGGTAGGACCAGATGACCACTTGAGTCGAAAACAGCAGAGCAAGCAGAAGACAATTCGTTGACCACATCCTAAATGAGAGGGCTGAATTTTCTCAGCTGTTATTTACAAAAAAAGTGTGTCTGGAGGCAAAGAATTGAAAATTTGAGAGCATCATCATCAAGGTCATAAGCTGAAGGACAATCCTGTACTATGGAAATACGTGACATTCTGTTGCCACCAAGTCAAAAAAATTCAAAGAAAATTAAACAATTAAAAGAGTAGCGATGGGAACACCCTATAAAGAAATTATTAAATTTTTGTGATCATTTAAACAAATCTATATTTTGGTGTAAAAAAAAACAAACATTCTACTTTAAAAAAAACAACAACTGAAAATCAGAAATGTTGCCTTTGTTTTAAAATATAAACAACTAAAACTGAAAAAATAAAAATAAATGACAAAAGAACATAATAAAATTTCTTAAACTTGAACTAAAATGAAAACTGAAACTATAAAAATAAAAGCCAATTCATCATATTTCTAAACTGACTTTCAATGTTTTGGGGTTTTCTTCTGTCTTTGTCTTTGCTATTTTTTTTTACCATGCTTTGGAAGTCACGCAACAAAATTTGTTGCACAATGACAGTAAAATAATTTAATAATTTAATAGGACAGTTTCCAAATACTGCACTGGGAGGAATGCCAGATGAAAAAGAAAAGGCCTGAACAATGGATCAACGGATAAATAAGGAGGACATTAAACATGGACATGTTTGTTGGGGTCACCACATTTCAAGGCCACTACAAGTGGAGCACAAACCACATACACACACACACACACACACACACACAGAGCAGACGCTCCATTTGTTTTTATAAGGGGGGAATCAAAACAATGCCTTTTCCCGGCTTGGACAGAGTATCCCATTTTTCCGCCATATGTGTGTATGGACAGAGGGAGTGTCCCAGAGGTGTTATAGAACCCCAGCTGAGGTGTAATGTCAATCCCAGATTCCCATGATGGCTTTCTCCTGGGAATTAGGGCATCTTACAAAATTTCCTACTCTCAGCGATAGCACCTACAGATAATTTTTTAAAAAAACTCAAATGTGAACAGGCTGGTCCACCTCAGTTGAACCCAGCACACTATGAATGAACTCAAGTGCACTAGTCTGATGAAATGTTATGTTGCTATGTTGCATGTGAAACGCAACAGCTGCAAATTCACTCGCTTTCCCAAGCACTTGCGCTCTTCTGCTCAAGTTCCTGGAACGCTGTACACTTACACTACTGCTTTGGCGGACTGCTCACAAGTGTACAGTTACAGTGCAGCTACAATCATTGCACTTCTGTTATGATAAATTACACTAATTTAGTCTCATTACGGTTGAGTTTTATCTTGAAAGTCACTGGAAGTTTCCACGTAATGCAAAACCAGGTCATGTTTTAAATATTCATTCATTTAAAATAAAAAAATTACACCACAATGTTTCTGTTTAAGCATGAGAAAGCAAGTAACTTTGTGCATTTATATGCAAAACAAAAACTAAATAAGACCTAAATGTACATTCAAATATGCCACTTTGATGCAAAATTATAATATACAAAACTCACTATCAGGAAACTTAGAAACACAAAATTGCTGGAAATAACTGTGTCTTCCGCTTAACACAAGAAACGTAGCCTAAATTGTGCCGTTTTGATAACGATCTGAAAGAACTGTAAATAAGAAACAATTAGCCTGTAATGGGGGTTAGCATATAATGGGGGTTTATCTTAAGAGGGGATCTCATTGCTTTTAAATGTCCTTCTTTTCTCCACTAAATGCTTAAATGTTGGGCTAACATTAGCATAATGATATGAGCAAGATTGCTCTTGACTTAGATGCTAGCTTTTGTAACGGCTCCACATAAAATGAGAAAGACTTCAGGAGGCCTTCCAGCAGAACAAATGCCAAAGTGAAGCTAACTTTAATTAAAACAATCTGGCCTTGTAAGAGAACAACAGAATGTTGTTTCAATTCTGTTATATGGAGAACAAATTTTGCTTTAACTGTTATTAGCATCTGTAAGTAGTTGCTGATCAGAATTATTGCGAAGGTCAGAGGTCATTGCCTTTGGAGGTTGGATTTTTGCAACAGTGGGCCTTCATTTACTTACACTCGTGTCTTCCATAAACCTGTATGACAAATATATATTTTGAAACATTTCAATTAGTTTTTTGTCTATACAATGAAAATCAACAGGGTTTGATTTTGTTTTGGACCCCATTCACTTTTATTGTATGACAAAAACCACCTGAAGCATTCTTCAAAATCATTTCAGAAGCGAAGCACCAAAGAATCACTCGCAATAAAAACTGGAACACAAAGTAAACAGAGTCAGTTTTGATTTTATTTTAAGGAAGAAAAACAACTTTAACACCCCTTGTGGTATCTCTGAGAGAGACAACCACCGACTCAAACCAAGATGCAAACACCATTCTCGGGGTGGCTGTGATTAAGCTAATTGAGTTAGTCTGAAAATCCGGCTTGAATACGTTACCACTAAAATGCTAAGTTTGCTAGATACTCACCGCTGAGGCAAAGGACATCTTAACAGTTAACCCATCGCTTCTGAGGTTTGGTAATCAGACCAGAATTAAAGCTATAAAAATGAATTGGCGCACCACATATATCATCTACTTAAGTTGTGGTGAGAAAACGTCGAGTGAAAGATGCTGATCACGCAAAACTAATGGCACTAATGATTAGAGGCCATCAGATGGCAAATGCCTTTATTTCCACCACCTTCTGCTTAAAACATTCTCCCACCCATTCCATACTTCATTATCATCCAGCTGTTTAACTTATGTCACTCGAACGCTGTTATAAATGCTTAAGCTTGCCAAGAAACCACACTGGCTGCTAATGAAGGTGCAAGAAAATCACAAGCAGACAAAACACACAAAACCTCC